GTTAGTAATGGTTCAAGTGAAAGGTGATTTTGGTTATTGATAGTTGCTATTAGTGAAAACTGGTAGAATACAACTGCAACAGGCTACTCATTTCATTGGTAGAAAAACATTTACATTCTGTAGAGGCCATCGTCATTTGTGGTGCATGGTCTGCACCCGACGCTCTTCTCGTTTTTTGAAAGGGAGTATGCGTATCCGGCGCTCCTATTGCAATGACAGGCTTGAAAACTGGGAAGGCCAAATAAGGGGCGGCGCGGCTATGAGGATAGAGAGTTATCGCTCGGAAAGGAAAACATTTTCGAGGGTCTTGCTTTGAAAGCAGCTCGGACGGAATATTCACCAAAAAAACCGATCAAAAACTGCAGTACTTGGACTGCTCAAAATGGTTGTACAAACGAGAAAATTGATGTAAATGTTAGAAAATGGACATGGTACTGTTTGAAAAGATGTGCTTCAGTGAACTTCGTAGAGAAGGATAAGGAAGAGCAACTGCGAAATATTAATTAACGGCTTCCCGTTTGTCTCGTTCAATCGTGGAAGACTTTAGAAGCGGCGGAAGCAAGTCGTATAACTTCGTATAATGTGCGACGGAAAATGCTGAAAAAACATCTGTCTCATATTAAGGTAAGCCCCCTGGTAATGGGGTTTTTGGAATCATACTCTCTATGCATATACATTTATTTATTTATTTTATTTTGAATTCGGTTTCGCTCACATTAGGGTTCTGTTAGGTCGTTGAGTTATGGACGGCCCCTGGGCTCGTTTTCCTACATTTCTGTTGCTCTCAAAAATTTCACAATATTTCTATGTTTGTAGAAAGGGCATCTAGGAGTATTATGAAATTATTGAACGCTTTTGTTTTGGTGGTTTCTGTTCTTGCTGGAGTTTTTCTTTGCAGCCATTGGAGACCGGAATTTTTATATTATGCCGTTAAAGTCTGTGCAGTACTTCAACAGAAAACCTTGCACCCAGCGCAATCCAGTTCAAAGAATAACCATCGAGGTATCGTATTTGGAGGGAGGTAATAGATGGATTCGGAGAGAGAACAGGCGGAAAGACGGATTCCAAGTGAAACCTGATTCAAAAGTCGCTGTAAAGCACTCTATACCCTTCTTCCCGATTGGAAGGAAGATGGGAGGAATTTTGGTGCAGAATGTGTATTACTTCAAGCGAGGATCAACGTTTGACACCATCGGCCATCGAAAGTAGACTGATATCGAGTCCAAAGCAGAGAGGAAGTGTGTCGCACTACAGCGGCCATTCAGGCCTGTTCCCAACTGAGGCATTGCCAAAAATCGTAAAACGGCAGAGAAGTATGTACAAGGTTCATGGTACGAATGAGCATCCTTGTGACAGCGGCGCTACCTGGCGCTTCCTTTCCGTGCAACTACTGTAGCGCCACCATTTCGTACACTAACCAGGATGTGTGGGGGCAGGGGACGTAAGCAAACCAGCCCTTTTGGCGCTTCGGCTGGGACCGTATGCTGAATGTTGGGGAGGGGATGGAGTCCCCGACGGTGGACGGACCACTTCAACTCGGTCCTTAGAACCGCCACAATTTGGTGCTTACCTCAGAACTAAGCCTTAAAGAGAGGACGGGTCCGTCCCCTCTCCAAGGCTTAGTCCTGGGGTGAGCAAACCAGCCCTTCTGGCGGAGCTGCTGGACCAGCTGCACCACTTGCGTCAGTACTCTCCTATCGTACCAACCGAGTTGAAGTAAACCGTCGACCGTTGGGGACCCCATCCCCTCCCCAACATTCAGCATACGGTCCCAGCCGAAACGCCAAAAGGGCTGGTTTGCTTACCTCGGGCAGGGTCAGCCGTCTGTTCGCGCTATTCCAACGACGGGATCGCACTTTGATTCAGGGAAGGGGGAGGCGCATTTTGAGGTTGAGCAAGGTTACCAGTGTGGAGCTTGTTAAAAGGGGTTGTGTTTGGACGGTTTTTTTTACAAATTTGGTGAAGGTCTTTCGAAAGTGGTAAGAATTTGGCAAAACTGCTGAATTTGCCTCTTCCTGAAAACTTCGCTGGAGGAAGGGGGAGTCGTACTGGCCAGGGCATTTCCTCGACATGACCTTCACCCCAGTCTAGAACGGGCAAAGTGGATTCCTTCGGAATAGCGCTTTAAAATGCGCATCTTTTCAAAATACATGAATATTCGAAGCTTCCATATCAGGAAGGTAGTGCTTTGCAAAACACATTCGAAATTTAACAGCTTATTTTTCTTCACAAATGCAAGGCCTCAAAATCTGCTATTAAGGAAGAACAAAAACGCTACACTAAGATCTACACAATGATAGACGTCATGAAGAAGGGATCATTGAGGAAAAAGACATTTATTGGTATGGTAGTGATGTTCGCCATGTCATTCAGTGGTGTCTCAGGTTCGTCGGTCTTCAAACTAAAATGTTAAATCATTGGGGAGGGACAAGGTTGTCATAGTGTCCGAAGTACTCTACTATAGCAAACACCATCTTTCCTGTTAGTGTAATACGTCTGTTTGAATTTGTTTAGGGAGAGTACGGAACAGGAAGTCCGAGTCATACACGAGTCGCAAGAATATTATTCCGCTTCGAAAGCAGCACAGAAATCGGGGAAATGATTACTGTTGGCGCAGATTGGTGAATTAGTAGAAAGATACACACCTTATGTAGGAGGGCGGAGTGTTCTCTGAATGGGCGTTACTTCCTTACAAGATTTCATAACTAAGTCGCAAAACTGTCCGAAGACTAGATAAAAGTACTTGGGATGTCTAATAACTGTTGTGTTTAAGCAAGCGTGGTGTACCCGAGAAAAGCGGAGCTACACAAAACTCCTAACTCTGTTCCAGAAAGTCTTAGGAGATGGGGAATGGTAACAAGGACAACGGAATGAGGAAAGGTCAAAGCAGTAAGATGTGCTAGTTGTGAATATGGTCCAAAGTTGTTCGAAGACGGGAAAAACGGATAGAGATTAGCGCAGGAGGATTCAAGCGATTAGTAGGCGGTTGTGCACGAGGTGGGAGGGGCCAAAGTCCAAATTTTTAGTTGCCTCGTTTCATGTCGCAAGCTTTGGTATACGAATCCAAATTGGTGATACTGTGCACCACAGTAGCAGTAAGCACACTACTGAAATACTCTATATTGAGGCTAATTTCACCTGAGAATTGTTCTATTTTCAGTGATTAACGCATATGCTGTAGAAATCCTGTTAAGCACAGGACTCAAGTCACTCGAGGCATCCCTAGCTAATGTTGGCATAGCCTTGGTCAGCGTGGTAGGTTATGACATATTTTTCTTCAAGGTTCTTCCGAAGTCAGAGATTAATTTGATAACTTTCAAACAGAATACATGAGCTGAGCTCATATGGAGGCTGGAACAGCAGCAAAGTTTATTTTTTATTATAGCGTGCCCAAGCCTTTGCGAAAAGGCTAGGGACTCTCTCCAGTCCTCTTACTCACTGAAATATCCACTCATTTGCTCACAACAAGCCTGAGCTCAGCCATAGTCTGACCAATGTGGGGCATAATCCACTGTGTAAGCATGAGACTAAGCCTGAGTTCAAGTCCAAGTACAACCAGGGTCAATCCTACGTTGGGACAAGTACCAGGGGGTCGTATTTTGTTGAGTTTGTAGGGGGTGGGGGGTCGTACTTGCTGCAGTCGCGCGAAATCGTATGTGGAGTTGAGGTGAACCTGGAGTGTAGTGTAAAGTGCGTAGGAAAAAATTGCGGTTTCAGTGTGCGTTCATACCTTCTCTAGAAAGGGTTGCAGTGGGAATATAGGTAAAATATAGTGAAGATGAGGGAGAGATAGAGGATAGGGAAATATTGGGAATTCCCCCCCCCCCCCCCCCGCTCGACGGCTGTTTTGGAGGGAAAAGTGGGTGGAGTTAGGTGTGTCGAGTGGTCTCAGAATTAAATACTATAGAAACAGCGACCATGATGGCGAGGGTGGTGAAGGGGGGGGGGGTCGTGAAATTTTTGATTGGAAGAGAGGGGTCGTAAAAAATTTCCGAAAAGTCCCAACGGTAGGACCGACACTGAGTACAACTTCAGGCTTCAATAATCGCGCAGCTTCGGTGACCCGACCTAGGAGGAGAGCTGAGCGTCTCCTCTGTAACATAAATCAGAGATATCGAATCATATTCGCCTGAAGGTAAATTCATCAGGAAAAGACGCCGCTGCGGAATCCCCTACTCACATTGAAAAATGAGTTCACATTCGAGGGCGTTAGCTCAGAGCACCGTCATTTTGAACATTTGTCATGTGCATGGTAGACACATGTGGTAAAAGACCGGAAGAAACAAAAACAAAACCTAGTCATTTGTTTTTATCAAAAAGGGGCCTAATAAAAGGAGGTGTGAAAAGAAGGGGAGAGCACAGACGGCTCGCTTGTGGCGAGTGAATGTCCGCGCGGGAGAGCATGAAAACATGAACAGGCGAAAATCCTCAAGTAGTCGTCGACGACTCCTCAACCTTTTCACCCTGGTCGGGCGCCAAAACCTGCGCTTTCATATAAAACGTTAAGCGTCTGGAAGGTGACCGTAATGCTTCAGTGGGACACATCCTTGAACTTCACGGATTCCAGAAGGTTTCAACGTCCTGAAGACAGTGTGTCCAATCGCTCAATCACGTTTGCTAGGCTGCGGGGTACAGTGTGACCTAGTGGTGTGCCACGCCCACTTTTTGTTTAGATTAGACCAAAAAGTTTCCACTTTTTAGCACGTTTCCTTCCACTTTTTGTTTAGATTTTCCCTATATGTCCCACCCTAGCGAAACTATAAATGACGTTACAGAATGGTAAAATGTGCCTCACAAGCTAGGGTTTTCCTAACCCTAGGAAACCTTCAAGCTCACTCTTCGTTTTCCTTTTAGCATGAGCAGTAAATAGAATAAATGGATATGTGTAAATACATTTCTTCCTAGGCGATATACCAAAGGCACGCCCAATTTGGCACCACTTTCTGTAAAAGACCAAATTGAACAAATATCGCCGCCTTAAATGTGGTGTAGGTGCTAAATAAACTAAAAGGAAGGCTAAATATTGAATAACACAGAGAGGCACCAAAATTTTATTTCAGGAATACTTTTGAAATCCTCCGCGATATTCCGGTGTTTAACTTTTTAAGAATTTAATTCTTTTTCAAATAGCTTTTGCTCTTTTGAAACTTTTGAGTTTTTGGAATTTTTGAACTTTCTGAACTTTTGGAATTCTTTTGAAATAAAATTTTGGTGCCTCTCTGTGTTATACAATACAGCTCAATATTAATAAAATGAAGGCTATAAATACTAAGATATTCAAAACTCGTTTTCTGAGGAAAACGGTCTATTTTGGACAGCGTAAAGTTCGAACATCTAGCAAAAGAGTTATTTGATGATTTCATGCTTATATATATTTATTTACTAGTTATTTATTCAAATTTGAATAAATAAATAAGTGCTTATTTACTCCTCGCACCAATAGAAGAACGTTTTCAGTTTGCCATTGTGATCTCGTCCATGGTTGTGGATAAATTTGGCCGCCGACCTTTGCTTTTGTTGGCTTTTGTAGGCTGTTTGATCTGCAATCTGTTTATATTTGCACTTATGCTAACGTTCGACAAAACAGGGGTGAGTCATTACACCATATTTTAAAATTTCCTGTAGGGTTCTCTGTATAGTTCATCAAAGAGAATCCCTCTGGTAGGGGGGGGGGGGGGAGGAGAAATGTATGTAAGCAGCGACGCGACAACTACGCGCATGATCCAAATGATAGTTGCCCGTCGAAAACTTTCACCGGATTTTCAAGGAATTCCACCTTGCTGGTGGTTCGCATGGTACTACTATGCCACAACTGAGCGCAAGACATGGGCCGTGGATTCAGAAAGGCGAGTTAGAGGAAGCGTTTTTTTTTGGTACTGCGAGCAAACCCGTTACCCTGAAAGCTGATGCCTGCTTTTTAAATGTAACTTGCCATGGAGAAATCACTCGAATACCGACGGTGAGCTTCGCCTGCGTTTCAAATTGGGTGGTTTAGTTGGTGGATAGTAGGTTCCTATCTAACACACACTTATGGTGAGATGTGGATACAAGAGCAGCTGGTCCCCCAATGTGCTCCTTGTGAACTAAAGAATATTTCAAAATACCACTTCGGTTGATATTTTTCGAAGAGCCCTATAAGCTGGGTGGGACGTGACCCTGACGCTTTTGCACGCTGGTATTCTGCCTCTGTGACGGCTACATTTACACTGGAAACCGTACGGCGGAGAGTTCATATTTTGACTATGTTAATGTATTTTTGCGAGTGCCTTCAAGCACTAAAAGACTAGAAAGAATCTATTAAAAACGGTGTGAATAAAATCCTCTTCTCAGTGGACAGCAGAAGAGTCTGAAAGGTAATAGCACAGTGCGCCGACGCGAGAAAACGTCAGACGGAGACGAGAGAGTTTAGCAAAAGCGAGGCAGCAGGCACCGTCACTGTGGGGCAGGGTCATCCGTAGGTCCGCACTATTCGAACGAGAGGCGTAGGGACAGTCGTAGTTAGAGTTGGCCGTTTCTGAAGATTTTATCACGAGTTCCTTGCTATAGAAATAGCCATGATGTCGAGAGTGGTGGTCGGGGGAAGAAGGAGAGGGGGTGCAGGAGAGCGTGTGTCAGGGAAGCCTTCTGAGACCGATAGTAGTGGTGGGGAGGGAGGTCCTACCGAGACTCCTCTAAAAAGAGGAACGGTCGCAAAATGTTTAGAAAAGGTACGCGCGCGGCGGCTTACCTTGCTGTGGGGTACACGGTTGGTTTAGATGGCCACATTTGCAAGTTCTGAGTCACCAGCGCCCCTTTCCACGAGTTTTTTGAGTAGAGTGAAAGTGGTTCTACCCTTCTGGTTACAGACTTGGCGAAGTAACTCGCAAGGGCGCCTTTTCCTAATAATTTCACGCCGTGCGTTTTGAAACACGAAACTATTTGACTGTGAAATAATGGCGTCTCTCAATGGTGGATTTTTTCAGAATAATATATTCGGCTTTATTTTGATATTCGTGATCTGCGTCTTCATAGTGTTCTTCGCTATTGGACCTGGTCCCTTATGCTATTTCATTACCGCTGAGCTGGTCGGTCAAGCAGCTCGAAGCGGAGCACAAAGTTGGACAAGTGTTGTGCAGATGCTAAGGTATTTCAATCTTTTTCTCCCCACAGTTTACGATTTCTATCACGCCTACGGCTGGCACACAGATTCCACAGTTTTCCTTGTTCGATGGATCTTTAATAAATCATGAAGTACATACAGGTAGTGAAGTATAAAATAATAGGTGTATCTCATAGTAAGCCCTGATTAGCTCACTTTCGTGATGACATCAGTAAAGGGAGATCCTGTGATAGCGCAAACCCGGTGAAATATAGGGTCCAAGCACAAAACACAGGACTCGCGGGTGATTTCAATGGCTACTGTAGAGAACAAGAAAAGAAAACACTGAAAATCCACTCAGCAAATTCACTCGTTTTCTGAAGCTTGGAGACAAATTGAACTCGGAGACAGATCTTTCGAAAGACTCTGAAAGCCAAGGCGAAAGAACGGTTTGCTTGTGCGCAGACAGCGAGTGAAGAGAATAGCAGAGGAGCAAGACACAGACTGGTATCCATCGCGAGCAGAGTGCTCCGTGTATGGTTAACCTTTGTGAGCACCAAGTAACATTAAACCTAATAACTCGTAAGCATCCTCATAACTCGTCTTGGGTCTCCACTAAGGTCACTATGCGCGTTTTCATAGGATGCGTAGGTTCCATAGTATCATCAAAGAACTGTGCCTTTAACTCACCTTCCCTACCACCATAAAAACTTCAGGCTTGACTAATTTAAGGGCCGAACTACCAGCTAATAACAAAACAATAGAAGAAACTGAATGATGATGACGACAGGAAAAGTGGCAGGTCCAAGTATTGGGTTGTCTCATAATTCCTGTCTCATTTCTATTCAATTTCAAATTTCCTTCCGTCTAAGACCGTTTCATTGCGAAATACGTTAGTATGTTGAAGTATGCTTCAAGAGCCTTAACAGCATGGTTTCGGAAGCGCAAGCCCGTAACGGGTTAATCAACTAGGAATAAAAATAGGTCAGTGACTATAATGAATGATTATGCTTTACGATCCTCAAATGAACTCTGTAGCAAGGAGGACAACAGAGAAGATCAGCGCTGTGTTTGACCCAGTCTCTGCTACTGATAGGGTACTGAGCTAGTGGTCCAATCGCAACGGCAAAGACGAAACGAGCTATGAACTTCAACCTCATACTGGGCCTGCGGTCATTTTTGATGAGCGCCCCTTGCACCCTAAATTGGGAGTGCCTCCGGACGTTGCTACCAGGGTATTGTAGCAGATACCTGAGCGCAGCCGATGCACCAGCACACGCCATCAGTATGGCAAGGACTGCTGCAGAATGAAGTTTTGATGGAAACGGTCCGGCCGACCATGAGCGGGAAGCACGCCTGACCATCTGGGGAAAATCCATTCTGGGACGGCAAAAGCAGAGCCTTCCCTAATCGGTCACCAGTGGAAATGAGTCATGAGTCCACTGCGACAACAACATGCGGCACGTCTGATGGCTACCTCGCAGCCAGGAAGCACCAGCTCAACCAAAGCCCGAACTCCGTTTTCTGAGAATATCGCTCTCGTTTTGTTGGATTCGCTAGGTGGCCTGGTTTGGGAACCACTTCAATGTATGAAGACAAGCATTGCTAAAGTCAGCGCGGAATAGCCCTCTAGGCTGGCTTCGGGGTTGCGAGAGGAATCGTCAGAAACGTCTCAGATTCTCCTTTCTCCGAATGTACGCCAGACCTCACATTGCAATGCCAACTCACCACGTTCTGAGGGAGATAGCCAGGGCCACGATACCTCATCCACCATATAGCATTGGCATCGCTCTATCGGACTATCGCCTCCCCTGCGCCCTGAATAAGCATCTGCCAGAGAAGAAAGTTAAAGATTGCGACCACCCCAAAAACGACTTCTCCAATTCTTCAACCCCCAGCTTCCTTCATTCTGGGCTGGAAGCTTCCAAACGCTCCCTAGCAAATGCACGCATATAAATTCATGTGTATTAGTAACCATAATGGTGGTTATGCTTTTGGTCAGTTATTTCCTGGAAGAGGGAAAACTTGAATAAATAAAAGTGTCGAAATTGAGACAGGAATTATGAGACAACCCAATACTTCTGTATGGAGCCGCCAGCATCCTCCTTCAATCGAGGTCCAAGTGGCCCAAGGAGACATCCATACCTGTGCCCCACCTTTTCCACAGCAGTTTCGTACACTTGTCTTTGTCAAGAAAATGTACAGATGTTCATCAACAGTTGGTCAGATGTGCACGTTGGTTTTCGTCTTACTCGAGTTTCTGCACTTGGATGGCCGCAGTAGCTGGTCGAGCTAAGGTGATTTAGTGGGCCAGTTAAGGTCACGTGATATTTGCTAATATTATTATCAATTTAGATATTAGATCCAGTCTTTTCTTAGAAGCTTTTCTGATAATCAATTTCATCGACAGATACACCGACAGCTGCGTGCGCGCGCTCTCGATCACTGATCAGGAAGAAAAAATCACTTACGCTGCGTCTCTAACTCATTATATAATAATGGTTCTTTTAGAAATTAAGATCGTGATGTGTGAATGCCAGTTGTTGTTGTGTAACGAATTTCTTTGTCTTAAATCAATGATGTGAGACGGAGATTCTTGTTGTGTGTGTTTTCAGTCTGGAATTGCGTGAGGTAGTTGCCGATAATCACATTTCTGTCAAAAGGATGATGTACAAGGCGATATATATGATGTGGGATGTACTGTAGACGGATGCGGTCCAGGTCCCGACAGTACCTAAAGTTTCCGCTCTTCTTTCAGCCTAGCAATTACGAAAAGAATCCTCAGAATAATCTTCGGATTGTCTTGGAACCCCAATCCCCAGCACTCGTGATTTCCATTTATTGTGTGTCCCGAAAACCGGTGTTTGAAAACAATATTTCACAATGAGCGAATTTTACAGCTATGGATTTTACAGTTCCCTAGCCGTCCCCCTACCTTTGCTACAATCGTTTGACCATCATACTGTATATAGTTTCGCCTTTTGCGATCGGGATGGGATGCCAGGCGCATAGCGCACTCCTGAAGAATTTTTTTAAGTCGAGCACATTGCTCGCTGGTTGTCGCAGGTAAATGAAGAATCATCTATGATGCGTTCATGATAACATTAACCCATTCGCGACCGCGCAGGATTGCGCAATAGCAGCAGCGTCAGGAGATTTTTCTTCAATAAAATTCGAGTGGAGGGAGATTTCCTCTGCCCAGGGCTGGCGTAGATGAGCGAGGGTATGAAGATTCTTTTCATGGAAGAAAACTTTCCAAATTCCATTTCAAGCCCTGCAGCCACAGTAATACCATTGTCCCGAGTGAGAGCTTTGTCAGCCACCGGTGGCTGACATTGTCACGAATGGGTTAAAGTGGACAAGAAATCGGGTTCAAGGCTTATGTTCATCTCGCAGCAAAGCACGTGACCCTGAATGAGGGCGACCGTTTGGAGGCTACGTGGAGACGGAAAACCTCAATAAATCGTACAAGATGTTCGATGCCAGATCCCCGGCGAATCAGAACCTGATGTTTCTCTGACATCCCGCTTGCTGAGACTCATTGCGATCCGTCTTTGAGCGCTACGTTTTCGTGTCGATATAGATTTGAACAACTGCAACACAGCGCCGTGTGGGCGGTAGTTATCTTGCTGTTGCCCTGCTTGTGCCCTTAACATTGGCGGATATATCTGCCAAGAGATCGCCATACTGAAGAAAAAGGTTCAAGCAACACAAAAATAACACACACAACAACAACAATACATATAACAACAAAAACAAAAAAAGCAAAAAAAAACCTTGCAGGCGAAAAAAGGCTAAATAAACAGTTAACCTTGGTCCATCTCTTGAAGACGCGCCGCGCATCTGACTCTGAGATTACAGATGTGTGGGCTGAGCAAGTTTAGACAACGACCTCTGTACGGAACATGTGCCCAATCCATGTATTGAGTACTACCAGAATATCGGCCTCCAATAGCAATTCCGCTAATATTTTTTTATAAATTGATCTGTTTTGATTGCTACTGCTGGACCATTTTTCGATTATCCTGCTTTACTGGTAGGCTTGAAATCTGCACACAGCAACTTTTGCACCACCAAGATACATTTGTTTTAGGGTGGGATTTCAATAGACCGTGAACTCTTCGAGGAAATGCATCGCATTTTTTTGTTTTTCATTTTTTTTACTTTTTTGCATTTGTAAAGTGTGATCATAAATCCACGATTTTTCATTTTTTCATCATTTTTCGCGGAATATTTTTTAGAATTTCTTAATTCTGCTACCTTTTGCGGCTTCTTTCTGCATATAATAAGGATGCAAAAATTTTACCTATATGCTATCACTGTTGTGCATGTGCTAACTTCTTTATTGATGTTTTTATAATCAATATTTTTGCATTCCTTCCTGCATTGAAAAGAGAACATGATCTAAACGCTCGCTACTGAGAAATTCTACTGAACTTTGAGGGAGGGTGACATAATAATGATCCGGAGGTGATTTTGAGTATCGTTTTATCCTAGCTTCTATTGACCTCAGCTATGATAGACAGGCTGAGAGTGCAATATTCGGCCTTACCAGGACGTTTTCACCTCAAAGTCAGGGTCATGGCTTAGTCTCACTGTCTCAGTCCCAAACGGGTAGAAGTGATATGTGCGCCAGTGGTCGCGCCATCTTTGCGCCTCTATGCACGTTACTGACGACAAGGTCTTGACACTTGGAACCTCACACACCACCCCCACCGACTCCGTGCACGCTCACTTGCTGCTCCTGATGAACGTTTAGCAGTGAATTAGAAATATTATTTATCAAGGTTCCTCCCAGAACAAAGCAATGAATTAGAAATAACATTTATTAAGGTTCTCTAAAAAACCGTGGAGGAAATATAGTTGTTGTAAAATTCGGCAGTTTTCCGAATTGGCTACTTACCACGCAGAGCTTTTATTCAATCGATTCTTACAAATTGTCGGGATGGTTGATGATAGGATGGTTACCTACTGAATATATGTATGGGCGTGTCAGTTTGAAAATAAAGCGCTTCGCACTGGTGAATCCCCCCTTTTCGATGTCTATTGGGCGTGGCTCACCAGCAGTGAGGGCGGGGAGAATGGAATGATATGCAGCTCCGCCCACGTGTTCAGCATCAAATGTGTCTTTAACCAATCACAGCGTCCCTCACATTTGCTCATAATTTGCACAGATATGTACTTGTTCTGAGGTAACCAAGAATTTGGTACAGAGAATAACAAACAATGTAAACATGCAGCTGTATAAAACTTATGAAAATATATTTCAGTCGCTTTGTTATTGTAACGATATTTCTGCCCATGAAGAACGGCATTGGCGAGTCGTGGTCATACCTGATACTGTTCGTGGCACCAGTCGTCGCGTCCGTAGTCTTTCTATACTTCAAATTGCCCGAGACGAAAAACAAAACTCCGACCGAGGTAAGTTATTACAACTGTGGTCCTGATTGGTAGTATTCGGCATGAGTCGCTGTTTTTTCTAGGTGGATGAAGCCGCTGCAAAGCTTCCGAAGATATTCTCCAGGAAGTCCAAAGAACTTTTGAATGTTACGAGTATTAAGTTATGATATCTATTTATTGTTGTTTGTAATTAATAAAAATTATTTGTTATGTAGCCATGTGATCGCTAGACAAGACTAATTATCTCCTGAGCTCACAAGGCGCCGCCTTAAAGGCAAAGTCCAGGGTCAGTCCTATCGTTGTTACTTTTTCAAAATTTTTACGACCCCCCTCCCCAAGGTGGACTTGGTACGACCCCCTTTTCGACCCTCGACCACCATAGTATTTAATTCTGGTACCACTCAACCCACCAAACTCCGCCCACTTTTTCCTCCAAAAATGCCGTCGAGCGGGGGGGGGGGTGGGTATATACCCACTATGAAACAGTAAAAATTTACCAAAATTCCCTAAATTTCAACCAATTTACCCTGCCTATATACGCGCGCTGAAACGGCGAATTTTTCTCCCATGCGCTCCCAACTCACCTAGCCTACTACTCGTGAAAACTCCACTTTCACCACAAACTCACATGTACTTTCACGCGACTGAAGCGGATACGACCCCCCCTCGACCAGGTACGACCCCCCGTTGTTACTAGTAACAACGTAGGGTTGACCCTGGTCGGGGCTCATCTCCTCTGAAACATTCGCTCCCGTGGATAGAGGTGTGTTGTCTGCCAATGCAGAGGTCGCGCCACCTTCGCACATCAAAACGCGTTCTGAGGCGCTGGGCGCTGAGGACTTCAATCAAATCCCACCAAAGAGGGTCAGCACCCCCCCCCCTTTACTCCAACCCACTGTTCGATATCTTATCTGCGTCGCAATGTTGATGTGCTATGCTCCATCTAGTCGGAGTTCTTTCCCTTTCCGCTACTCACATTATTTCTTGTCTAACTGCCTGCCTCCTGGTCCTTCTCGCAGTATATGCCAAAAAGGCTAGTATGCTCTGCGTTTTTGACGATCTTCCTTCCTTTTTTCTTTATTTGGCATCTTTAGTTTCATGTCAGGATGGGATTACCACCAATTTATTCCTGTTTTTGAAAAGCCCCTTACCTTTGTTTCTATACTCGCAGTCCGATTCGCATCTCTACTTCATAGGTATTCCCACATCATTTTGAATGGGAGAATAAAAGCTTTCGTTAGACAAGGTTTCTACAAATCTTCATTACTTGCTTCCGGAAGGATTGAGAGCGGGCGAAAATGGATAAGGGCTAGCCGTGGAAGGAGGTCCGGAGCTGATCGGGGTTGGAATGTGTAGAAGTGGGCACAATTGGCCATTAAGTTCAGCTGGGTTCCGAAACAGCCCAAAGAAAGCATGTAGCAGCGCGTCCATTTTCTTCAAAATGTAAGGTACCCTATAGTTGTAGCCCAGCCAGACCCGGTTTGCTTAGGGAAACCCAGGGTGATCTTCAACAACCTAAAGATCTTTTCACTGGGAAACTGGTCCAGCATGAGCTTGTGGTAGCGGAGCGCTCTGGCTCAAAATTAACATAGCTCTAAAAGCTTTCGAGACTTGTCCACTCAGGAAATGTAGGTGATCTTAAGGTTCATATTTAGTTCCGGTTGGGCAAGTTCGGTACCAAGTACTATGAAGTTTCAACTCAAGGACCATCAACTGGATTTCGCGATACAAAAATAAAATAGTTACTGTACTGTGAGAAGGGTTAGCAAAACATTGAATCCATCGTTCAGGCCCTTCACTCGAAAAGTGGGCCAGTATCCATAGTACAAATATTTTTCTAGAGTTTTGGTTCAGCGTGGATTGTGTGGTAGGTCGCAAGGTAACGTCCAAGAGAATTGGATGCCCCATTATGGAGTTAGCTCCGGCGTGCTTGGATTGAAGAGTGTGTCCTCAAAACTGCTGTCGGGAACTTCCTCAAGCCGTGTAAAAATTGCTTTGGTGCACACCTACAGACAAATTGGTGTGTTTTTAGGCAACAATATGAAAATAAAGGTCTCTGATAAGCAGAAAAAAAAGAAGTAAATAATCCTAGCAAGACGTTGAAGTTAAAGGCTTGTTTATATATGTGAGGTAAACTGTACGAAAAAGAAGAGATATAGAGCGCAAAGAGAGAGGATGGGCAAAGAGAAGAGGGAACCAGAGAGCAGAGACATTCCGCTAGATAGATCGCCACACAGCGGGAGTCGGTTAGCGTTCTGGTAAAGCGCCCTTGTCGCACACATCGAGCTACGAGAACTGCACCTATATGGCCTTCGGAGTGGATAGCGCTATCCTAATAGCCGCGAGGATGTTTCATTACGGCTCATTTTTGGGTTGCCTAAAAAGGTTGGCTAATAAACGCACGTGATATAACACCGCTTCTTCTAATGAACCTTTACTGATCTTATGATTGTCCAATTCCCTTTG